AATTCATATCTTCGTCGGCCCAATTCATATCTGCTTGAAACTTGCAACATACATGCAACGTCATTCCAATGAAAGCCTCGGACACTGCGCAATGGAAAAGAACTTCGCTAGGAATGTTACCACCGATGTACAGATCGTCTGCGATCTTGGCAACGCAGCCTTCCTGAATGAGCTCACCCAAGACATGAGACATGAGCTCTTCCAAACACGTCTCCGAGCCAGGCATGCCCATGGCAGATCAGGTATACACACAGATACCTTTGTAAAGAGTAGCAACACCACAATACTTCATGGAGGATCTGATAGAACGACTTTAACAAGTCAGTTCAGATGACGAACTTCCACTGGCCGATGGACCATAAAACATTGTTGACGTTGGGCATTAATTAAGGAAGGCTGTGGTTTACTGTACTGGGCAACCTCATCAAAAGATGTTACAAGACGTGTTCCACCATTTGGTTTTTGACCAGGAAGGAAGTGTTGAGATACTCCACAAGAACATTAACCTGTTCGGGTTTAGCAAACACACCTGCATCCTCGAGCTCATTGAACCTTGCCTGTAATGCTTCCATGGTACTGCGGTTGTACTGGGGTAGGCGGCCTTTGCGTTGGGGAGGGTTGGGCCCATGTTGACTACAGCTTCAATCTTGCCACTGGCGCCATTATACTTGGAGATGGAAGAGTTGAATACATCGTCAAACTCAAGGTTAATACCGTATCATTTCTCTTTAAATTACATGGCATATACTTTTTGACTTACCGTGTTGTTTTAGGCTGTGATAATATGACGATAGTTTTTGTTCAGTTATAGGTGATGGCTTGTTTTTGTCATTATAGTAGCTGAAGTCAAATTTTACTATTCTGCCATTTAAATCCTCTAATGTCAAAATAGCTTGAACCTTGATGAATTCCTTCAACATTTCCTTAATTTCATAATGTAGAGTGCCTTCTAGTATGTTGTGCATTACACCTGTTTCCCCTTCTAGACACAGTATAGCCCTATGGGACAATTGGTTGACAGATGGTGAAGGGGTAGAGAGGCTCTGGTCATTTCTTCGGAGGCTCTCTGCAATGACCAAAGAAATGAACATTGATCTGTTGACTGATGCATTGTGGCATTACTCCACTCGTCAACGTTAACAGTTTGGTAAAGCTTTTGTGAATTAATTGTTTCATCTATGTAAAATTACCAATTAGAAATCTCACAACTGTGTATTCCTGAGTTACTGTTTGCCAATGTTCTGGTAATGTCTTATCATGTACCTACAGTACATACGTATGCAGACACACTCTACAGTATACTTATATATGTTTCCTCTGCTCAACACCACACAGTAGTGTTAAGAAACTAACCTTGCACAACATGAAAATATTAATATGTTCTCCACTCTTGTCTTCGATGACAGTACAGTATTTGCTGTACATACCTGTAATTGTAAAGTCTAGATCCTACACTGTTTGTGTTCAGCTGCTGTACACTTGCGCTTACTGGTTTAAAGTTTACAATTTTGCAAGTTGTTTTATAGATTTTAGATTTCTAGAGCATTTTCAGCAGCATGAAGAACTGAAAGTATAACTGTAATAAACAAATTGTTATGTAGGATCTGCATTGGCAGGGAAGCTGAAAAGAGTTCCAGAACTGATATCCAACACACTGTATCAAATTCAGGAGCTTTTTTCCAAGATGTTTGGTATGACCCAGAAATAATAGAACTATGGATCAAGGAGGAGGATAAATTATTTAATGAAAAGAATGGTAAGTGTTGGTAATACTGTATGCATGTTTACAAAAAAGTCTATGAACTTCCGCTCACTCATGGATTAACAATTTTCATAGGAAAACCCGAACTGACATGGCAACATAATTATGTACAGCATTTATTGGAGCTTTATCAGCTTAGGTAAAGTTAAATGTAATTACATACACTGTATACTGACAGGTATATATTCTAATACAACAGCATGTGAACATGTTGGTTTCTTCTTCTAAAAATCAGGTGAAACATTTTTTGAGAGGGCTTGTAGTTCTAGCCCAGTTAGCTAGATCAAGAATGCACTAGAAATATTATGTGGTTATATATAACAGGTTTTTTAATTAATACAAGTTTCAACTAGCAAAATATCAAAAAAGTCACAGCCTTACTTCAACAAGTATGCATCCTTTCTCGTTTTTATAGGGTACAGATTGCATGCGCCAAGAAATGTGACCAAACCTATTTCACAGATATTGTGAAAAAGAGCGAAAGTAAGACACCTAATTTACCTAGTTTCTCCTGTTAGTAGATGCAAAGTTACACGATTAGAGTCATAGACACCATCCGTAATATTGCCTATTTATTTATGTTTGTAAACCGTGGTAGATATAAGTACAGAAATATCTTACATCACCTATTTCTAGAGTTGTGAAACTCATAGAAAACACCGAGCGAAGACATAGGGTTTTAAAAAGATGGAAACCTGGTGAGAGCAAATTTAACGCTGCAGCCTTGTCGTTGGAGATGAGCAGAAACGAGGCTATATATAAACTATTGTTATACTATATATATTTATTGAAATATAGAACGTTCTCTGGTTGAAATATTAAAATTTATTAAAAGCTTTCGGCTATCAGTCTATAGCCTTCAACGGGTAGAAAATATAAATTCAAAGAAAGACGCTTACAGTGAAACATGAAACTACATGTGAGTCTAACTACTGTATGAAAGGTTATATGATATATACAAGGAATAGCATGAAGTATGTAAATTTTAGTGTTTTTTAGTGAGCATAGTATATTGTCCTGGAAGTGGCTTAGAATTATTGTCAGCTTTATCGGATAAAGCTGTATGCCATGACTTCGACTGCGGAACTCTCCTTTGTCAATCACCTTCGCTTTCTCAAAATCAATTACATGATCTAATGACCATGCGTTTAGCAACGTTTGAAGCTTTCTTATCATGCTTTACATTTCTGATATGTTCAGCTTTTCTCGTTTTTAAACATCTACCAGTCTTTCCAATATAGATCCAAGGGCAATCTTTGCTAAACATGCATGGTCATTAGATCATGTAATTGATTTTGAGAAAGCAAAGGTGATTGACAAAGGAGTGCGACATAACGAGGGTTGGTATGAAACAGGATTACCTTGGTTGCGGTAACCACCCAGCATTACCGAACAATAAGAACAGTAGTCTATGGAGGTTGCAAAGTATAACTCGGAAACTCGAAAGCAGAAATCAAATGGCTCAGTACAAAGAAATCATTGACGAGCAGCAAGATGCCGGTGTTGTTGAGACAGCAGCACACCAAGCAGTTGGAAACTGAGTTTTATATACCCCATAAACCGGTGGTACGACAGTGTGCGGAGTCGACAAAAATGAGAGTAGTATGTGATGCATTTTGATCAGGGGTCGTTTTTACCCAGTTGCTCTTAGTGGGGACCTGCAAAAGGCATTTTTACAAGTTTGAATCAAGGCTGACGACCGTGATGCATTGCGCTTCCACTGGCAGGAGAGTTCTCATTCAGAAGTAGAGCCCTTATGCTTTACGAGGCTCTATTTGGTTTAACAGCATCACCCTTTCTACTTGGGGGAGTGATTGACTCCCATCTATCGACCTGGGCAGAAAGAGAACCAGAGACGGTGCTAAATTTGAAGCGAGAGGTATATGTAGATATATATGTAGTTATATATATCTAATATCAGAATCGACTACTGTAAAGAAAGCATTAGAAATTAAAGCGAAACTGTCAGAGATCTTTGAAGATTCCTGTTTCCATTTACACAAATGGCACTCTAATACCCCAGAACTCGAGTTGGACCCAGCTCCAGCAACGGAAACCACCTACGCAAAAGAAAACTTAAGGAAGCCAGATGGGGGAAGTCTCTAGCCTGCTCGGATTGAAATGGAACAATCTGATACTTAAGCTGTTACCTTTTTGCAAGAAGAAACGGTACTGTCAAAGCATGGAGTGTTGACGAAGCTAACAAAGATTTATGACCCCCTCGACATCGTTTCGCCAGCAACACCTATCTTGTAAACTCATGTACCGTGCAGTATGTGACCTAAAGAGACCTTGGGATGATCTAATTCCAAGCCCGCTACACGAACGGTGGATCAGTTGGGAGAATGGGCTACCTGTGGATTTCGAGTTCCCTAGATCATTGGCTTTTCACTGAGAGTCCATTTGCAGTATTGATCTCCACTCGTTTGGGGATGCTAGTGCTGGTGGTCTAGCTGCATGTGTGTATGCTGTATTGCGTCAACCATCTGGTACAAATCAAGGGTTAGTTGCAGGGAGATCTTGGTTGCCCAAGCAGCAGACGACAATTCTAAGACTCAAGTTGTTAGTTGCTCACATGGCAGTAAATCTTATTGAAAACGTGAAAGAGGCCATAACTGGATTCCCGGTTAAAACTCATTCCCGTACGGTCTATATTAATTTCGGATGTTAGAGTCCGAAGTTTTCAAAGGTAAATATCTCTGCGAGTATTTGCAGTAAAGAGACCAAAATACCACCAAAATGTTACGCTTTAAAAATACTATATATTCATAAAGCTTTATTATTGTTTTGCCGCATTTAGACGATTTGTTTACCTTGAAACGAGTTACAAAGTCAAATTTATGCAAATGACGAATTACAATTTTTGCTGCTGCGTCAACAATGTTCAACTGCTAATATCTTCGCTTCTATTCAATGCAAAAGCAAGCAATATACACTAAAAGAATTGCCATCTTTTATTCTGTCCACGGATTGAATCTTGTGGAATTATGAAAAAAATCTATACTTCAAATGGCGATTCTTGTGGCCGGAACGTGTTCCCCCGAGTTCGGATGCGAGAAGTATTTGTGTTACCGGGAAAAGGACTGCTGAAATCACTTCCGGAGCATTCTGTTACACTGGTTACGGATTTTCATTGGCTTAGATAGAAAAACAAGCCTTTTATGACAAATTTCCTGAGTTTGAAAATTTTGCGCATGAGTGCTGTATTCATTTTCTGTTGTATTGTCACACTGCGAAGATGGCTTCTACGAGTGCTGCCAATGTCGATGTTGTTTTTGACTCTCTTATGGAAGCTGATGACTCCAGTGACAACGGAATGTCCTCGGACGAAGAAGAATATTTGAATCTGGTAATGGAAGTTGTTTCTGGGGCCTCAAGGTAAATAGTTTTTATGATTCTTTGACTTTCCTTCGCGATGTTTGCTGTCGCCATGGCAGCGCATTCATCATTTCCATAGTTGCGCCACCAGAAAGCCCTTATATTGCGTATTTTATTTCATGAAATAATATTCTTACATCGAAATAAACAAGTATAAACAGTATTTATTATAAAATTAGTGAAAAGTTAGAGATTTCAGACGTGAAAAATCCTGCATATCAGTCAAAGAAAAATCAGTTCTGCGCGCATGTGTTTGTGTACGAACTATTTGTAGACAAGCATTCAAAGCTGTTATTATATTATTTTTTGAGTGTATTTTGATTATTATTTCAAGCGGCATCACAGCAATTATGTATATCTAATGAATGAATCTTCTCCCTTTTAGTGATGAAGATATTGACCCAGCTGCTGCTGTATTGGATAATCAGGGAAGTGTTAGTTCTGATGATTCTTGGGAGCCACAATCCCCTGTTAGAAAAAGGTCCAAGGGTAGAGGGAAGGGTAGAGGAAGGGGAAGAGGACCTGTCTCAAACCACAATAGGTCCTATAGTGCATGAGGGATTTGATGATCCTGACAGTAGGAATGTTCTGCCAGCTTTTGCCCCTCACCGACCTGTCGGGATCCAACTCGAGCAAGCTTTCACCAGAGGCATGCACCGTGAGATTGAGTTCTTTCGACTCTTTTTCACAAGGGAAATGCTTCAGGAGGTAGTTACCCATACCAATTCTTATGCCCACATCAAGACTGCCCAAAAACCATCCTCATATACCAATAAAGAAGGGGTTTGGACGCCCACCAACCTTGAGGAGATCGAGAGGTTGATAGCCTTTTTAGTGTATGCAGGATTGGTAAAGGTTGACGGTGACATTGAAAACTACTGGAGTATAAAGACCTTATATCATGGTCTGTGGGCAAGAGAAATCATTTCTCGACTGAGGTATAAGTCCCTGATGGCTTTTCTGCATGTGGTGGACCCTGTCACCGAAGACCCCAGCAATAAACTGCGTAAGGTAGAGTCTTTTGTTCAGTCTTTTAGAGAGAGATGTGAACAACTGTACCAGCCTTCTCAGAATATTGCTGTTGACGAACGCATGGTCAAGTCAAGGAATAGGTCGGGGATTAGGCAGTTCATGAAGGATAAGCCAACTAAGTGGGGGATTAAATTGTGGGTTGCCGCGGACAGTTCTAACGGTTATACTTGTAACTTCGAAATTTATACAGGGAAGAAGGCCACAGGCTCTTCTGAGCATGGATTGGGTTATGATGTGGTGATCCGTCTTTTAGATAAGTATTTTGATCAGGGTTACCATGTTTATTTTGATAACTTTTACACTTCCCACCAATTAGTTAGGAACTTATTCTTGCATGGTACTCCTTCCACGGGCACAGTCAGAATAAATAGGGTAGGATTCCCACAGTGTCTAAAAGACGTAAAAGCCTGAGCCAAGACCCAGAAGCGTGGAGGGGTACGGTGGGTTAGGGAGTCAGAAGTGTTGACACTGCAATGGGTTGATAACAAGCCTGTTTCAGTGTTGACTACTATTGACTCAGCCAATGACCATGTGGTAGCTAAGAGAAGGGCAATGGTGGACAAGAGATTTGCTAAAATAGATGTCCCCCAGCCTAAGGCCATACATAGGTGCAACCAGTACATGAATGCCGTAGACAGATCTGATCAGCTTCTTGCATGCCACAATATTCGTAGGAAATGTTATAGGTGGTGGAAAGTTTTATTTATCATCTGGTAGATATGGCAATTGTTAATAGTTTTATACTTTTCCAGAGGAAAAGGGCAGAGCATGGGGATATTGAGGAGTTACAGCGTAAGCAAGGCTATACTATTATTGATTTTAGACAGGCTATTGTAAGGCAACTTTGTAAATTAGCAGACTATGATACCTCCTGTATATTCCAGTGCTAAAATGCACTGTGAAGGCAACTGATTTTATAACAGACCATTTGCCTGGGGTTGAGTCTGATGTTAGAAAGTATTGTTTTGTTTGTTATAAGGAGGGGCGGGGGCAGAAACGTGTAACTACCTATTGTACTGCTCCACAGTGCAAAAATAGGTACTTACACATTTCTCCTGAATTAGATTGTTTTCGTAGATGGCATAGTAAAGATTTCAATAGGTATAGATAATTTTTACTTTTCTGCATGTACTTTTCGATGTAAAGATTTGAAAATAAAATGAAATGAAAATGAAAAAAAAAATTTAAAAAAAATAAAGTAAAAAATATCTTATAGTAAGTAGGAGATGAGTTGTTTTGTAATTTGTGTTTGTTGAATAATATATACCGGGTGGCGCAAAAAAATGTTCCTCCTCTTTGACTTAATTTAATTTAAAAACTAAAAAAGATATCATTTTCAAGTAACGTCTATTGAGTAGAGTGGTGTTTAACTTAAATTTTGATGTAAGTCTTGTACATTTCTATACAATATTAGCCAAGATATAGGCGTTTAAACTCAAGGTAGCGTTTCTGGGAGAAGCAAAAAATGTCCTAAAATTGAATGAAAACAGCACGCAACAGTAAGAACAAATATTGATAGCTTCGTCAGGCAAATCCTCACTGTTTTTATGCTTGGAGATGGAATATTATTCCAATGATTTTGCCATCAACGTAAAACTTCTCTTGCATTATTAGTCCTCGCATATTCCAAACAAATCCAAACTCGTCGCTGTCTCGTTAAACGAGGCATGTTTATAACAAAGCGGGCAAGCTCCTTTGCTTTTGTTCCCTTGTGCATTGCAACTCCTTGTTCGAACGATGAACAGTATTATTTTAACATCAAATACACTTATACTTCGAATACTTTAATCTAAGAATCTTTAAACATGCAAAGACACCATAAAAAACACTTTAAAGAACGCCTATCGTGAAAGTTGAAAATTACTTAGTTGAGTCGCGATATTTAGTCATGTTATTCGCTTCGTCAAAAAATGCACCTTTATTTTAAACGGCTCGATCTCGACTAATATTGTACAGAAATGTTCAAGACATATCAAAATTTAAGTTAGACATTACTGCATTCAACAAACTTTATTTGAATAAGATATCTGTATTAGTTTTTTAATTACGATAAGTCTAAGAGGGGGAACATTTTTTTGCGCCACTCGGTATACATGTAGTAAAATAAAATAAAAAACATGTAGTTAGGTTAGTTGGACCATGATGTTACCTAAGTTGAGTTACATGAGCTTTAGGTCTATTGTGGTTCAAGATCAATTTTGCCAAGGTAATGCTTTCATCATCACATATTACAATTGTGTTGATGAGTCCTGCCTTAGCATACACTAGTTTTTTATGTAAACTATTATTACAATGTGTATTGATTATCTAAGCATAAACAAATGTAGTAACTGGGAATAAAGACATTTTTTATGTGTGAAGTCTGTAAGGGTTTATGTAATATTTTTATTGTGACAAAGTGTAGAAATAAACATTTGACTTTCCGGTTTTCAAATTGTGATTTCAGTGTTATTTTATTGGTATTACAAGCCTATTTAGATACAGGACTCTTCAAGGGGACTAAGAAATGTTAGCAAATAGGTGAATAGTTCGGATAAAATACCGCAAGAATAAAATAAAACCTTTCGCAATCATATTTCTCTCACGCTTGCGAAAAATCTCTTGATTGCGACAAAGTGTAGAAATAAATATTTGACTTCCCGCTTTTCAAATTGTGATTTTGAGTGTTATCTTACAGGTATTACCAGCTTATTTTGGTGCATAACTCTTCAGGGAGACTAAGAAATGTTAGAAATTTGGTAAAAAGTTTCCAAATTTCGGATAATATACCGCAGGAATAAAATAAAACCTTTCGCAATAATATATCCCTCGCGCGTGCGAAAAATCTGAATTTTATCCTTTCACGTGCTATTTTTAAAAATGCTGTAGAAAAAAATACTGCTCTGTACAGCTTGTCTTCTGTTTGAAGAGATATGTTAAAATACAAATTATTTCGTTGACTTGTTTTTATCTCTGACAAGTTGCGGACATAACCCTAAATAGGACTCTGGTTCTTTAGTGGATTTCTTCCCAATCGTCCCCTGAGCGTTCCTGCAGGTGTTTTCGGTCGAAACTTCGGGTGTTGATTCAGGGGGGGTGTGGCCCCAAAATATCCCAGGGGGGGAACCAAAAAAAATTTTTTTTATAGACCTCCAAAGTGTAAAATCTGAAAAAAATTCACGTTTTTACTAAACTTCCGGTAATTTTGTGCGCATGCATAAGTGGGCGTGGTCTATCCCTGTGCCAATTTTTGAAATGATTGGTTTAGAAAAATGGCAGGAAATCCAAATTTACCCCTATTTTTTAACAAACAACAAACAACAAAGGGAACTCTAGGAAATCTTGAGAAAGGACGTGAATTTCAACCTTTTCGAAGCTTCTGCATCTCGTTACGTGGACGGTGACGTGACTTGTTGCATCAACTTGAAACTTTGTGCCGTGATACCCAGAAGCCCTCTCTCTCGTGTGCTTGAGGTTCGAGGAAAAATATTAATCCCCTAATATTTTACAGATTTTTAAATAATCATACCTGAAAAAATGATATTTTAAAAAAAAATCTGGAAAATATTCCCATTTAAATCAAATTTCTCCAAACTTCGCACGTGTGCGCAAGAGAGTGTGGTCGATATTTGTGCCAAGTTTCAATATGATTGGTTAAAAGGAAAGGGAAAAATCAAGGTTAGAACAAATTTTGCCCGTGAGTAAAAACCCACCCCCCCTGAAAATACACTCAAAGACCAACTAAAGTGACGTAGGCTAATCAGGGCATGGCCCTTAACACGTGACCACGCCCACTTCCGGTTTCAATTCTTTTAGACTGATATATGTCATTAAATACAAATCCACTTAAGGACCACCAAAATCCACTGAAAGACCACCAAAATGCACTAAAGGACCAGCAAATCCACTAAAGGACCACCAGTATTAGAAAGACTAACCAAAGTTGGGTGGGGTAATTAGGGCGTGGCCATAACCACATGACCACGCCCACTTCCGGTTTCGAGTCTTTTCTACTGATATATGCGATTAAATACATAATCCACTAAAGGACCAGAAAAATCCACTAAAGGACCACAAAAATCCACTAAAGGACCACCTGTATTATAGAGACTAAAATTTTATCAAGATTTTATCCATTTTCAACCAAAGTTGGGTGGGACAATTAGGGCGTGGTTCTAAACATGTGACCACGCCCACTTCCGGTTTCGAGTTATACACACTGAGATATATGAAAAAGGGCAAATTTTCATAGTTAAAAAAGTTTTCAGAAAAATTTCTTAGAATATAAAATGTTTAAAATTACATCAGAAAATACATATAAAAATTTCAGGGAAAAATATTTAATTGCGAATATTTTACAACACTTCAATCCACTAAAGGACTACAAAAATCCACTAAAGGACCATGTGTACTCGTGTAGTTAAGATTTTACCCACGTCCAACCAAAGTTGGGTGGGGTAATTAGGGCGTGGTCCTAAACAAGTGAACACGTTCTCTTCCGGTTTCGAGTTTTTTACACTGATATATGCGGTTAAATACATAATCCACTAAAGGACCAGAAAAAATCCACTAAAGGACCACAAAAATCAACTAAAGGACCAGCAAATCCACTAAAGGACCATGTGTGCTCATCTAGTTAAAATTTTATCCATTTTCAACCAAAGTTGGGTGGCATAATTAGGGCGTGGTCTTAAACACATGACCATGCCCACTTCCGGTTTCAAGTTATACACACTGAGTTATGTAAAAAAAACGCTTATTTTCATAGTTAAAAAAGTTTTCAGAAAAATTTCTTAGAATATAAAATGTTGCACATCGCATCCGAAAATACATATCAAAATTTCTCAGAAATCTATTTAATTGCGAATATTTTACATAACTTCAATCTCAGGTGGGATGTTGTGGTAGATACGCTGATAAAATGTCTCGAAAATATTTCGATTTCAACCAAATACAGCCAAATTTAGGCGTAGTAATTAGGGCGTGGCCCTAAACATGTGACCACACCCACTTCCGGTTTAGACTTATTGACGTTGAGATATGCAAAAAATTCATATTTTGAGGGCCAAAAACGTTTTCACAAAAATTGCTTAGAATATAAAATGTTTAAAATTACATCAGAAAATACATATTAAAATTTCACGGAAAGATATTCAATCCCGAATATTTTACACAACTTCAATTTCACGCGTTTTGTTATGATAGATGTGTATGACAGTTTAAAAGTGCTGAAACCGGAAGTAGGCCCCTACGTATGTTCAGGACCACGCCCTAAACACCCCACCCAAATTTGGTTGACAAAGAATAAAATCTACGTACCCAATACTATAGGTGAAAAAATCCACTAAAGAACCAAAAAAATCCACTACAGGACCAAAAAAATCCACTAAACGACCACAAATCCACTAAAGGACCGGAAAAATCCACTAAAG